TGCAGTGGCATCACAGCTCACAGCAACCTCCAACTCTTGGGCTTAAGCAATTCTCTTGCCTCAGCCTCCCAAGTAGCTGGGACTACAGGTGCCTGCCACTGCACCCGGCTATTTTTTTGTTGTAGTTGTCGTTGTTTGGCAGACCTGGGCTGGATTCAAACCCACCAGTTCCAGTGTATGTGGCTTGCGCCCTAGCTGCTTGAGCAACACACAAGCATTGCTCGAGCCAATCACATTTGTTTTTTAAAAAATTGATAAATGGTCCATAGTTATCTTCTTAAAAATCTGTCTTAAAATTTTTTGTAGTAGTTTCCTATAAGTAATGATGCCTATCAAGATTAGTTCTGCTCTGTAAAACTTTTTTACATTTGTAAATTTGGCATATTAAAAGAATTTACCAGTTACATACTAGGAAGTAAACGGATCAAATGAAAACCTTACAATGCTATTAAAGAATCAATTAATAAAATGCAGTAGCTACTTCTTATAAAATTCTTCTTATAAAGGGAATTTAAAAAATGATGTACTTCTGCTTTTCAAAATTCATTCTTTATACTTTCAAACATGTGTAAGTTTGTTAGTAGATGGTAAGTTCTGTGAGCACAGGGAGTTCTGACCATTCTGTCGAGTGCTGCACCTCTAGTTTCTAGAACAGTGCCAGGCACTTAGTTCACCCCCAGGAAGTATTGTTTGAACAAGTATATTTTAAGGATGTGTATAATAGTATTTATTATGCTTGGTATATTAATAAGTTGGATATTCTAAATGTTCCTTAATAAGGGTTTGACTGAAGGCTGTAGGACAGCCACACAGTGGGTACCATTTTGCTGTAGAAAGAGGGGTTTCCATATTCATTAATACAGCACGACACTTTGTTTCATGAAAAAAGGGAATAGAACAACAGTATACATAAATACCACTTTTGGTTTTCAAGTTTTAGTTTAAAAAATACATGCCTACCTAGAAGTCGTCAAGCTTTTTAGTTTTCTGTTATTTCTGAAGACCTTAAATGGCTTTGTTTGTGGAAGATATACATATTAGTGTATTTATATTTTAAACACGTTTATTTTAATGTAAATATATGCTGTAAATACAAGTTTGGACAATTAGGTTCAGAAACTAATGCTAGGAAAAGTGGTGCACCGTCACTGCTGCCGGTCACTGCTATCCCCTCCCGTGCTCCCCAGGGGAGCCACGCACCACGCACCACGCCAGAGCCTCATACACCTTTCAAAGCACTTTTTCTGGGACAAGTTTGTGAACTCAATTGTCAGACCTCCTACAAGGACAGCTCTGATGCTTATTCCAGAAAAAGTCTTCTAAAATTATTTGGAAGGGTGGACTGGGCGCCCAGGAGTATGTAGCTTCCCCAGGGGAGCATTTTGAAGACGGCCGCAGTGATGGTCAGAATTGAGGTTTATTGTACCTTTTCTAGGATGAGTTCACAAACTTAGTATGTATTTATGTTAGAGATTAAAACTGAAAAATGTTTAATTTACTTATTAATGTTAAATAAGAATGTTGAACCCACAATATGTTAGCATAAAAATGCATTTTTATGAAAAAGAACTATTTTCCATAATGAAAACATTTAATGACAAGAGTGGCTTTGTTTTAATTTTGCAAATCTCTCTAATGTCTACCTTAACAAGACAACTGGATTCTCCCCAGCTTCTGTATTCAGGCTGTTGGGATGATGTTTTTCTTTGTTTGTTTGTTATGTTTTTTTAGACAGAGCCTCAACCTATCCCCCTGGGCAGAGTGCTGTGGCATCACAGCTCACAGCAACCTCCAACTCCTGGGCACAAGTGAGTCTCCTGCCTCAGCCTCCCAAGTAGCTGGGACCACAGGCACCCGCCACAATGCCTGGCTACTTTTTGGTTGCAGCTGTCATTGTTTTTGCTGGATTTGAACCCACCACCTTAGGTGTATGTGGCTGGCACCTTGGCCACTTGAGCCACAGGTGCCAAGCTAGGGATGATGTTTTGATTGAAGTACATGAAGAAAATTCAGCCTTACATCAATATGTAGTCACAATGGAAAAGTATTATAGTCATCTTTTCAGATCATTGTAAATGTTCAAACCTCTACCAGTTATTAGTTTCCTAAAGGTCATTTGCAATATGGAAGAAGTAACCACAGTAGTGAACTTTTTGTATTCTGTCTCATGAAATCCTTTGTTCTGTTTTGCACTTTGAATGGGCCTTTACCTGTGTGTTTTATAAGGTTATGCATTGGTCATTTGAGGAATTTTGGTTTGCCGACTTATGCAGATTTTCCAATTTTCGCACGTAATCGTGCCATGTGAAGAAGTCACATTTGTGGATATCCCAGAAATCTCTTTGGAAGGGTCTTCCAAGTATTATGAAGCTGTCAAGATCACAGAGATAAATGTAGGTTTTTCAGAATTCTCCTTTTTAGTTGAATTTTTGAATTTTATCATTGGTAACAGGTTTTGAGCTTATAGGCTGTCTGCATTCATATGTTGAGAAAATATCTGTTAAGCACCCAAATCTGAATAGTTAGCCTTTTGTTCATCTGGAAGTAGTGTTCCATTAAAAAGATGTGATTAGTTCACAATGGCACTTAAAACCAAACCAGACAAGAAAACCCCCCAGATCTGTGAATATATATTAATAAAAGAAAAGAAAAAGAAAACATAGCAAAATATTGACAGTGGTAATACTGCCAGGTGCGGTGGCTCACGCCTATAATCCCAGCACTCTGGGAGGCTGAGAGGGGTGGATTGCCTGAGCTCACCAGTTTGAGACCAGCGTGAGCGAGAGCGAGACCTGTCTCTAAAAAAAGTAGCTGAGTGTTGTGGCGGTTGCCTGTAGCCCCAGCTACTAGGGAGGCTGAAGCAAGAAAATTGCTTGAGCCCAAGAGTTTTGAGGTTGCTGTGAGCTATGACACTGCAGCACTCTACCCCGGACAACCAAGAGAGACTCTGTCTCAAAAAAACAAAAAAACAGTGATAATACTGGAGTAGTGGAAAAATGCTGACTTTTCTCACTTCCTTTGATTTTTCTGTAATAAATAATATATTTTTATTATGTTTGCTATATAGTTAAAGTTGAGATGTTATGTATAGTGTGTTATTTATGGGACATCTTATAAAGAATCAAGTGGATGTGAATTATTAAGAATAATTAGGAGGCCAGGCATGGTGTAATCCCAGCACATTGGGAGGCTGACACAGGAGAGGACTGTTTGAGACCAGCTTGGGCAACATTAGTGAGACCCCATCGCTACAGAAAATATTTCAAAATTAGCTGAGTGTAGTGGCATTTGCCTGTTATTCTAGCTACTGGGGAGGCAGAGATGGGAAGATTGCATGAGTCCAGGAGTTTGAGCTACACTCAGCTATGATTGTACCAACATGCTCCAGCCTGGGTGACAGAGTGAGATTCTGTCTCTAAAACACATGGACATGCATACATAAAAATAGTTATTTTCTCTCTTTTTCTTATTAGGATCTGGGTCCTGAATATGAGAATGTATTTAACACCTCATTGCAGTGGATCTTTGAAAATGGAAAAGATGTTGGAATAAGGTAAAGGATTTGACTTTGACCTTGGCCACTTTGTTCTGTAAGAGTGATTTTGACTTTAAACTTTACCTTAATTATTTTTAAATAGGTGTGTTGGTTTTGTCCCTGAGGAAGAGTTGACAAATATAACTGATGTGCAGTTTTTACAGTCCACAAGACCACAGATGTCTTTCTGGTGTCGCTTTCGACGTGCTTTCATTACTGTAACCTACAGGTTATTGTTGTTGTGCTTGGGTAAGTTGAGATGATAGAGGAGACCAATTGCAGTCTAGAATTTTTCTGTTTACCTATTTCACTAACTGCAGGAATTGAGAATTCACTTTTCTTATTGTGGGCATGTAAATACATCTAGAAATCGTGACTAAATATAAAGTTTCAGTCTAAGGGCTTGGAAAACAGTAATAGTGTATTAAGAAGAGGTGGGAGGCTCGGCCCCTATAGCTCAACCGGCTAAGG